CATAAAGTAAATAGATAATGACAGAATTATGTATGTATATGTATATTCAAGAAATAAAATATGAGAGGTCATCATATATTACCAATACTTCCATAGCTAAAAGACCGTTCAAAAAGTTTGGGGTCAGTACGTTTTTTTTTTTATTTATAAAATAATACTTTTATTTAGCAAGAATGCATTAAATTTATCAAAAGTGACAACAAAGACTTGTTGCAAAAAAATCTATTTTAAATAAATGCTATTATTTTGAACTTTCTATTAATCAAAGAATCCTGAAAAAATGTATCACAGTTTCTACAAATATATTAAGCAGCAGAACTGTTTTCAACATTGATAATAATAAGAAAGTTTCTTGAGCACCAATTCAGCATATTAGAATGGTTTCTGAAGGATCATGTGACTCTGAAGACTGGAGTAATGATGCTGAAGATAACTGCTTCTGTTAGATATAAAATATATTTTCTAACTATACTGTAAAATTATACTGCATATAAATACCTCCTTATTTCCTAAAGGAGGTATTTCCATCCAATCTAACCCTTAAATTTATATTTGTAGTCTCTAGGTTCATCATTTTTTTTACTTGAATAAAATCAATTAATTTAGATGTTACCGCCTAAAGATTCCACTGCATAAAGTACATTGTTTTTAGATTTTTTTTTAGTGTAAGGATAATATTTGGCCTCTATGTGTGCTGTGCATTGTAGCGGGTGGATAGGTGTTTGCACCATAAATGCGGTATATTGTTTATTTTAGTACAGTTTGTATCCAATCAGCATCCAGAACCAGAATGCTCTGTTTTCTAAATAATCAATTTAAGCATAATGGACCTTTGCATATGATCTGTCATTCACATAAAAATACTTTCTGACTTTGTATATGGTGAGTTTCCCTCTGTACTATTTACATTGACACTAATGTGGTTAACTAATCGCTAATCACTAATCTCCCTCAGGAGCAGTGAGAGCGTCCAGCATCTTCCCCATCATGAGCGTTGGGCTTCTGTTCATGGGAGGTTTGTGTGTGGCTGCCGGTGAGTTTTACAGGAGCAGACACAATGTCATCCTCAGTGCTGGAATCTTCTTTGTCTCTGCTGGTAAGAGATTAAACCCACTGCATCAGTGCTAGCACACTCAGCCTGTTTATATTTTTAGCTTTAGCATATTTCAGTCTTTCCAAACAACAGTCAATTGTCCGAACCAGGGTTTCCCCACCGGATAGAGAGTATCGTTGGGTTCAGAACACAGCATGTCGAGAATGGATTAGTTAACAGACAGGTTAGGATGTCATCCTCCCCGTAGACTCTGCAGATCTGTGTTGACTTCCCAGATTAACTCTGATTATTGACAAAGAAAAAATGGATGGGCCGGCTCGAGCAGTGTAAACAAACAGCAGGCCAGCATATTGACCCACTGCTGTAGTTCTGGCCTGGAAAAGGGTGACAGACGGAGATCCTCAAACAGAACTGCATGTTGGTCAAATATTTAGAGAAGAACCCATTAGGACCTCATGAGCACACAAATGAGCCCAACTCCCTCCATTACAATTGAATTATGATGAATAAATCTTCATGATTGC